TTGTACGTTTGGCATGCTTCTTACTATTTTGCATTTTCTTAGGTATCCAGTGAGTGAAGTCCTCAGAATTAGTGTCTGCCACCATTCTAAATACCATTGACAACTTTTGCCTTTAGTAAATGATCTCAGTGCAGCAGAAGTTTCATGCCATGGGTGACTCAGTAGTCATCCAGGGATAAACGATCCCTAATCTACCCTGTCATCCTTTCTCTTCACAAACCATATGTTTCTGTGAGCCAGAGCTGTTTTAGCAAATTCCATTTTTTCTAATACCAAATGAGAGTTTTTCTTTTTCTTCCTGACAACAAATGCATGGTATCTTTCCCAGCATCACCTCTTTAATTTTCCGGACATGGACTATGTGTCCAACAATTCAAGTCAATTCTGGCACTGTCTATCTGGAGTTAGCATCAGATCTCACAAGTTAAGGAGCTCAGTCCCACAAGACTACTCCAGTTCTAGGTACAGGTCACAAGTCCCGGACATCCATACTTCTACCCACCAACTATAAATCAGATTCAACCTCCTCGGGTTCACAGAACTCAGAAACACACTTTGCTTATGTTTTTCAGTTTGTTATTAAGGATACAACTCAGAAATCACCAGAGAAAGCTATGCAGAAGGCAAAGTATGGGGCAGAGGGATGGATCATAGAGCTTCCATGCCCTCTCCAGGTGTACCATCCTCTCAGTCCTTCCCTGTATTCATGAACCTGAAAGCTTTCAAACCCTATCATTTAGGTATTTTTATGGAATTTCATTGGCTATTAGTGATTAACTCAAACTCTAGCTTCTCCTCCCTCTCCAAAAATTGAGTATGGGGTTGAACATTCCGAGCTCCCAACCAAGGCATTGTCTTACTGGCAATCAGCCCCATCCTGAAGCTATCATTGAGGGAGGCCTACTCACCAAGAGTTGGCTCATTAGAATAAAAGGCTCCTATCTTCCTTATGATGCAGGAAATTCCAAGGTTTTTAGGAGCTTTGTTTTTGGAAATAAGAAAGAATACAAAGACCAAATATCTTTCTATGATGAGACAACTGCATACCGACCCATCAAATTAGCCTATCACAAGGCCAATGAGTGTGCTTGCCCTCCACATATATACACACACACATGAACACACATGCACAAAGTGTACTGTTATAGCTCCTGACCAGGTATGCACGATTGCTTACTTCCCCTCTGCTTTGTCTTGATCAGACTTTATTCGGGCTTCTCTTTTCCCCACCGCCGCCTGAACTTTGACTTGTCCCCATCCCTGGGGCAAAGACGAAGATGCAGCATATGCCCTCCTCAACAGCTTACCCCCCAAAGTAAACAGGCCCAGCAGACACATTTCCTGTCAGATTGCACCTGTTATGCTTCTTGGACACTCCTCCTTTTTTGTCCAACTTCTCTTTAAAAGTTTCTGCTAAGCTATACTTACCTTTCTGTAAAAGAAAAGCCTGTTTCTGTTTGATTTTGAGATACTTGCAGATTTCTGAGCTCCAAGATTTCTCCCTATTATATTAGTCTTTTGGAAGAAAGTCTCTCCTTGTCTAAGCATGGATTTATTTTTATTTGAAGCAAAGTATTAATAAATGCTACAGTTGCATCAGATGTTATGATCAGCATCAAGTCTACACACACAAAATAAATAGAACAATTAAGTAGTTCTATCATATACCTGGGCAGTAAAAAATAGGCAATCTGAATAATTTTATGAATTTATAAAAAGTGCTTTTATTTTAAGGTTGCTTTTCATAAACTGAGTTCCAAAGTGAAAGAAAGGTAAGAATACATCATTTAAAAGTTAACATTTGGTTGCATGCTAAAGAAAATTTTCTTAAAATTCAGTTACTTCATTTTTGTGAGTTCTCACTTAAGTAGAAGTACATTATCTTTATTTCATTTACATCTCATTTGTTTAAATCTAAACAGACATCATAAAGCTCAATCTTTAAAAAACAAACAAAACTCAGCTACTTTTTTATTAGAGAATAAAAATAGGAATGTGTCACACATTGGTCTGTTATCTTCAGTCAGGAGCTATGCTAGTCTTCACTAATCTATTCATTCAGTTTTACTGTATGTGCTACCAAAGCAAGCACCTAATTTTTTTTAATAGGAGGCTATCTGGAATCAATATACCCCATTGTTCAAGGGCTTTGTGAGAGGGCTGTAGACCAAGGAGGGCCAGTGATTCTCTTAAAAATAATAATTCTAGACATTATACCCGTGTAGCCATTAGATTATAAAAAACATTACTTATTTCATAAAAGATGAGATTTTTACCACTGAAGGTTTGTGTGATAAAGTATAATAGTAGAAAAACTAGAATCCTCGTTGCTAGTGAACAATTGATTATAAAAATAACATTCATTCATGTGTCTTTGATTCCCTTGCATAACTAAATAGGAAGCATAAACAATGAACAGAAAAAAATAGTTTTATAACCTTTACAAATTATCAGTTAATAAATTCAAGCATAAAACAAATATACCAAAAATCAACCTAATTGAATAAATATTTCTCATATGACAAGGCCAGGAATTTTCTCTCTCTTTCTAAGTGGCCTTTATGTCATGTGGAACTCTTCCAGCTCATTTACATTCATGACTTCACCACTGCTAATAATTCACATATTATTGCTAAATCAAATATTTATTATATTTTAAAATTATGATATGAAATAAGTTGAAGGAATAATATTTGTCTTTTGCTTTTTAAATTTTTGAAACAATACTAGACATATGAAAAACCACTGAAGCTTCTTAAGTGAAAGTTATATTTGAAGTTAAACTATTCAAAAATTTGTTAGTGAGTCTGTGAATCATTTATAAAAATCATACACCTTGGTTTGACCTTCATACTAAGTGTCTAACTTAGTTTAACAATAGGAGCAGCTCTTCTGAATGTGAAATTGTGCTATTATAAACCATCTGTATTTCTATAAATTGTAAAATATGTAAGGATATATGCACTACTGTGATCATTGCAGTGTTATCTACAATAGCCAAGATATGAAAGCAACCTAAGTGTCTGTTGATAAGCTTTTATGTATTTCTAGTTGTGATGAACATTTGTTCCTTGTACAGTTAGAAAAAAATAAATATCATTAAAAATGAAAAAAAATAAGTTGGATGACTGTGAAAAACCCCAAGAAAGACCCCTGGTGAATGGGGCAGGGAGTCTTTCAACATCATTGCACATTCTCTGGCTGTGAAAGATACTGACTATTCTTAAGAGCCAGAGGAGGTGACGTTAATAATTCTATTAATTACACCCACCAATACAATTTATAAGCACCTTCTACATACCAGATGAATACTCATGTTGATTCAGTTTCACTAAATGAACCTGAAAATTAGGTGATATTATTATTGTTGTTGTTGTTGTTATTATTATTACCATCATCATTATACTGAGTGTTATAGATGAGAGGAATAGAAATGGACTCAAACTGATGTTTTCACATATTTAATTTTCTTTGGAGAAGAAGTACAATATAGTCAAGTAGTAATGGAAAAAGTAAGGCAAAATCTTTCAAACAAACAAGGATGGGGTCAAACTCTGTAGCTATATGGATTTCAGTAATCATTCCAAAATATTTATGTGAGAGAAAATGGAAACTAAAATGTGCTAAATTAACTAAATGTTTTCAGATTTGGTGGTCTGTCTCTAAAACTTAGTCTGAAGTAGTATTTACATAACATCTTCAAAACTTGAAAAAAATATATGTAATGAAAAGTGAAGGAATTGGCTTGTAGATGTAGGCATTTTACACTGTCACTTTTAGACTAAACTTAATGGTGCTTATTTTGTTCAGTTAATTCGCTGAGAGTTATGTAGATCAATCAGTTATCCCCAGTTACTTCAAGGAATCTTACAGAAGGAAGAGGTACTACCTACCCTTCACTTTGCAGAGAAAACTGGCTCTCTGATAAGGAGATCAATAAAAGTGTATAATAAGAGGTGAAAACAAGCTTTTTCCTTTTACCTAAGACTCAACAGTACTCTCTCATATTGCCATACTGTCAGGATTAGCAGTGAACTTGGCTTAACTAGAAATTTTTCCAAGTATAAGTTAGATTCTTGGTACTCAAAAATAGTCCACCAACAAGAATGTTAGCAACAGCTGGAACATTATTAAACATTCAAGATTTCATATTAAACAGCTCCTCCCTGAAATTACAGAATTGAAATCCCCATTTTAAGAAAATCTCCATGTCATTTGTATACACATCAAAGTTTGAGAAGCACCAGGTTATGTGACCCTCATGAGGGATGCTTTAAGAGAAATCCTCTTATCAACTAGATAATTGAAAAGGATGCTCTTGAAAGCCTTTCTCAATCCTGAGAGTCAACAAGATTCTCTGAGAAGATGAAAAAAACAAAGCTTAGCATTCCACCTGTCTTATTTTACGGAAAAAAATTATTTAACTCACTTTTTTTATTGGTATGTTGTCTAAGAAACTCACATTAAAAAGTATAAAAGGAATTTTTCATTTTCTGTCATTTCCAAAGTATAGATCAAATCTTGGGTCCAGGCAACAAAAAAATTGAAATAACAGACAATCAATGTAGCCAGATACACTTTGTCTTTAATATCAAAAATATAAATCAA